GAGGAACTCTGTAAAAAATGGCTGTAATTCCTAAACGGTTAATGCAATATTTTTGTTAAACCCCTTGAATTAAAGCTGAAAGTCTACGCTTCAGTCACATCTTGACTGCTTCATTTCAAATCCACTGTGGTGGTGTACAGAGGCAAAATTACCAAAACTGTGTCACTGTCCCAATATTTATGGACCTGACTGTATCTTGGTTTACATCAAAGCAACCTACAATTTTAACAGGGGTGTATAAACGTTTTGTATATCTACTGTATGTATATTTTCATTATCATGGCAATTATTAAATTGATTAGAGAAACAATATTTATTAGATTCTTTACCTTCATATGTTTGTCTATAAATAAATATTTTTGTAAGGTCTCCATTTTCCATTTTCCATCATCCTCATCTTTACTGATATAGCAATCTAACAATTTAAGATGTTTTTATAATGGTGCATTGTCACACTCCTTAAACATATGAATGCTACAATAGAGACATTCTTTCAAATGTCAAACTTAAGCCAATGATCTTGAAGGAGGAATGAAAATGGTTCTAAGCAAATGTCATGTGATTTATTCCTGCGTAGATGTGGATAACATTTGGGCAAATGTGTCAGCTTTCATCGAACGGCAAATGTCTATGCAAAAGGTAAGTGACACAAGGTAAAGTAGAAACAGCCTGCTAGTATACGTATAAGTCTGAATAGAAAAAAAAATGCTATTCTGTGAAAAGTGAAAGCTCAGTGTTCAGGAATTGAATTGAATTACGGAATACGTTCACTGAAATAGTCAAGTCAGAGAAAGCTTATTGTGATCCCATCCATATGAGTGGATTATTTGTAGTCCATTACACTCAATCCTAGTTATAACTTCCACACTATAAAGATGTGCAAACTTGCACTGACAGCTTTTTACAAGTCTACACCACAGGTTCCCCACCCTGGTCCTGGAGTAGCCCCAGTCCTCCACATTTTAGTGTCTTCTCAAACATCTGATTCAACTAATCAGCTAATTAATAAGCCTTCTTGAGTTTGTGGGTATGTTAGAGCAGAGAATGTGCAGGACAGGGGGTACCTCAGGACCAGGGTTGGGAACCTGTACTCTAGACAACAGTGGTCTAGACAACAGTGTACTTAAAATATCAGTTTTGAATGTGAGGTTCTTAGTGTTCTTCAGAGGTCAGGATGTAAGTGGTCAAATGGCTATTCTTTAGGGAGTGTGCATTGCTGGCCTTGGAGTGTTCACCTTCTCCCAGCAGAAGCTGGATGTAGGCAACAAGTATGTCCTTTATCAGAGGCCAGTCTTCATCTTAACTGAGAAACTTCGCCAATCTCACGGCCTTAAACAGACCAAACCTCTCGCTGCAGGTGAGTAAATGCATCATCACACTGGCCAACCGCTAACACAGTGATTTTCTCAAATCCATCTTCTTTAGACCAGGACGTTTCTTTTCCTTTTTTTACGATCATTTTAAGATAAACGCTTTAACACTTTAACATCATAGACAATGGGTAGACGTGGACAGAAAGTTATACATAAATACATATATATTGTCATAACAGCCTTTCCCAATCATTGCAATACATCTTACAGTAGAATTAGTTCTGTACATCATAGGCACACTGTCTACACTTTGCCTTTGTTTTCATTAATTTATTAGATATAATTCCACTTCTTATGTTTCTGCTATAAAATAAGATCTTGGGGGAAGCAGAGTATTTTTAAACTGTCCAGCAAACTATCTGGCAAAAAATAAATAAATTAAACACTGGCAACCCTGTTATTAACTGTCTTCTGCTCCTCCCTGATTATAGGGCATCATTTGTCCTTCCCCAGTGAGCCTCTATTAACATTTGCTGCAGTTCCCATTGGAACTGCAAGGCCTATTCTTTTGTTTTTGCTATACGCTGAAGACATTTGGGTTTGAGATCAAAAGATGAATATGAGATGATAGATAAGAATTTCATTTCCTTTTATTTCCTGATATTTACATTTAGATGTGTTAAACAACTTAGCACCTGTTGTTGGAACCCACCCATTTTTCAAGTGAGCAAAAATATTGGAACATGTAACTGACTGGTGTTTCTTGTTGCCCAGGTCTGCCCTGTTAGATTGATTGTTTAAACAATTAACTGCGCTGAATGTCTAGCCCTGGTTTGAACCCTGGGTTTCGCCTGTGAAGACCGCATTTGTTGTTAAAAAGGATAAACCAACACGAAGACCAGAGAGCTGTCTATGGGAGAAAAGCAAGCCATTTTGAAGCTGAGAAAAGAGGGGAAAATCGATCAGAGCCACTGCACAAGCATTGGGCATAGCCAATACAACAATTTTAGTGTACAAAATATCCAATATCTTGTTCACCTAAAAATTAGGTGGTCTGCCACCAAAGGTGCCAAGTTCTAAGCTGTTTAATGCATCTAGAAGTAAATATCAGGAAATGAAAGCTGAAATTCCGATCTATCATCTCATATTCATCTTTCTCTCAAACCCAAGTGATCTCAAACCCAACTCAAACCCAAAAACAAAAGAATTGGCTTTGCCATTCCAATACTTATAGAGGGGACTGTAACTCTATTGAGCTAATTGATTTCCTAGCCTTTCTTGATGTTGTGCAATCGTGATATATATGGTGGGGCTCTGCCTCACAGCCCCAAGCAGCCACCACTACTTGACATTGTCACATCTGGTTTCCTCAATACAGATCTAAATCTACATCTGGATTTGTGTGAAGCTGCTTTGTGACAATGTC